TTGAGCAAAAGAAGCTCAGCGACAGTGTCCAGGCCCTCAGTTCAAGCCTCAGGACTGGGGGAAAAAAATAACCCCAAAGGTTTTAGAAACTGAATATCCCCTGCAGGCCCAAGTAGGCTTTGGAATGAACAATATTGGGCTCAGCTCCAGTGGAAATTCCCAGGAACTATGAAGAGAACCAAAAGTCAAGTAACCATTAACTTCCGTAGGCACAGTGAAAGCCACTGGCAGCAGGAACTACAGCTGACCAACTACATCTAAAGGAACTTCCAAGGTTCTACTTTGAAGAAAAATATTAGCTGGGCTGAACAAAAACTGATTATCTCATAGCCCTCCAGACCTGAGGATTTGTCACCTGGGAAGAAATATTTTAAAAGTCATGCCTATCTGCAGTTACCTACTAAGGAACTGTTCCCTTCTATACAGCAATAACCCACATACAGTCATTAGACCATTTGTAAGTGCTGTTAGGTGTTATCTACCCCCTTTATTGTTTTTTAAATTTATTTTGTGCCAATCCTAGGGCTTGAACTCAAGGCCTGGTCACTATCCTTGAGCTTCTTTTGCTCAAGGCAAGTGCTCTACCATTTAAGTCATAGCTCTACTTCTTGCCCTACTTCCTGATTAATTGAAGAGTCTCATGAACTTTCCTGCCCAGGCTGGCTTCAAACTGTGACCCTCAGATCTCAGCCTCCAGAGTAGCTAGGATTACAACTGTGAGTCACCAATGCCCAACTTCTACTTTCTTTTATTAAATGAAGCATAATTCTTCAGGAGGGTCTACAACCAAAGGCTCATTTAGAAGGCAAGCAGAATCCAAGCTGCTAAGGATGTGAGAATTATATCTCAAGGTCAGCATAGCCAGATAAATCCGAATTACATTTTTTTTGGGGGGGGTCAGTTGTGGGGTTTGAACTCAGGGCCTGGGCACTGTCTCTGAGCTCTTCAGCACTGCACCACTTCCAGCTTTCTGGTAGTTAACTGAAGATAAATCTCACAGATTTTCCTGCCCAGGCAGGCTTCCAACAGAGATCCTCAGATTTCAGCCTCCTGAGTAGCTAGGATTACAGATGGGAGCCACTAGTAGTGCCCCACTCCAAATGACTCTTATCTCCAATTAATCAGCAAAAATCCAGATGGGGAGGCATGGTTCATGTGTTGAATGCCAGCTGTGAGTGAACACTCTGGCCCAGAACCCAGTAATCCACCAAAAAGGCAAGTAAAGCTGGGCTCCGGTGGCTTATGCCTGTAATCCTAGCTGTTCAGGAGGCTGAGATCAGGACTTGTACAAGGAGGCTCTTGGCTCCAGCCAAGAGCTAAGCTCTGTGGGAACCTGGGCTGATATTCCAGTTAGTTTCTGAGATTTTTGTATTTCCAGGCAAAGCCAAACACCAAAGTTTTCACATTAAAAAAAAAAAAAAACCCTACAACTCCAGAAACCATGCAGTGGCTTGTAGTGGTTTGAGGCCTCCAAGAAGGAGTCAATTTTCATCGCAGACTGGAACATTTAAAAACACCATGTGGGGACAGGAGATTCCCCAGTGACCAGTTAGCTAGCTGGCTTACCACGCTTCAGGATACTGCCCTCCGCTACTCAAGTTACCACCATTAGCAAACAGCACAGGACGCTGCTCAACTTGCTTATCCCACCCCTCAGAAGCTCTTGGAAAGATCTATTTTGCTCTCTCACATCACTTTTCTCTAACCAGAACCTGGCCCTTCAGCTTTCAGACCATTCTCCAAACCCCCAGCAGCAGACTACATCAGAGTAGAAGGTTTCTGCCCACTGTGTCTGGCCTAAGGATCCCTGGGCCTCACCTCCATTCCTTACCTGGTTCTCAGCCCATCCCTCATCATCACTGCTAGTGATTTCCACACCCACGCAGGGAATCCTCCAGCCTTGCCCTTCTCAGCCTCCATGTCCTTCCCCAACCTCCTGGTTCTCTCCAAAGCCCACAATCACACCTAGATCTGGTCTCAATTAACAGTTACCTCTTCAGAATGCCGATTTCATCAAACACACACACACACACATCTTTTCTTTTTTTTGGGGGGGGGGTGGTTATCTGGTCGTGGGCCTGAACTCTGGGCCTGGGCGCTGTCCCTCAGCTCTTCAGCTCAAGGCTAGCGGTCTACTACTTGAGCCACAGCGCCACTTCGGGCTTTTTTTTTTTTCTGCTTATGTGGTGCTGAGGAATGGAACCCAGGGCCTCATGCATGCAAGGCAAGCACTCTACCACTGAGCCACCTTCCCAGTCCCTATAGTCATATTTTATCTATCCTATTTTCCCAGTCCATTCCCTCCAGGACTTCAGCGCCAACCATCTGATGGCCCCACCACCTTTCCACTGTCCTTCAGCTCCCTTTGTTCTTTATGAAGATTGAGTTTCATGGCTGGCCACAATAATCACTTCTTAATTACTCCTTCCTCCTTGTTCTCATACCACACACACATTTGGCAGCATTGAGTGGCTGCAGGTGCCAGGAGAAACACTTCACTCTCAGCAGAGTTTGGTGGGAAAACCAAAGCAATGGAGGAGTGGGGGCAGGGGGAGAGGATCAAAACTGCCTCCTGCCTTGGATGAGGCAGTTCAAGCTTTCAAACAAACAGCACTTCAGATAAGTAAGGGCAGTAGTTCACCCCACCAGATAGCAGTGCTTCAGAAAGGTCAGTAGGTCCAGGCCGCTGGAGCCACTGGGAACAGAGAAAGCCTCTGGTCATTAGACCTGGCCTTGTCAGTTACTACTGTGGACCCTCCACAAGGCCTGTAGTGTCACCAACACACCAAGCTTAAAGGACACGCAGGGGATCAGAGAAGCCTAATCTGACCAAGCCAGAGGCCAGGTACCTGGAGGCACATAATCACTTCATCTGAAAAAGTCCAGAAAGGCTGAATTCTAGTTCACATTGTAATGGCAACACCTGCTTTTTATTATTATTATTTGTGTGTGTGCTGTTACTGGACTTGAACTCAGAACCTGGGCTCTACTATTTGAGCCCCAGCTCTACTTCTGGCTTTTTTGTGTTGCTTAATCAGATATAAGGTTCTCACAGCTTTTCCTGCCCTGAACCACTATCCTCAGACCTCAGCCTCCTTGAGTAGGTAGGATTATGGTCATGAACCACCAGTGCATTTCTGATTTCAGGTCCTGGAGAGCTGAGCCTCTCCCCACTGAACCCTGTCTTCCCCAACTCATTTTGTGTGTGGAGGGGGGTCGGCTGTGGGGATTGAACTCGGGGGCCTGGTGATGTTACTGAGCTTTTTTGCTCAAGGCTAGCACTCTACCACTTTAAGCCATAGTGACACTTCCGGTTTTCTGGTAGTTAATTGGAGATAAGAGTCTCACTGACTTTCCTGACTGGGCTGGCTTTGAACTGAGATCCTCTCAGATCTCAGCTTCCTGAGTAGCTAGGATTGCTGGTGTGAGCCCGGGACACCTAGCCCCAATTCATCCCCTCCTCTGCCCCCCACTCCTTCACAAACTATTTTCCAAAGTTACCAAAAGGGAACCACCTGATGCATACATCTTCCTATAACCTGTTTTGTGCACACAGAGCGCAGCCAGCATGCTCCTGCCCACTTTTCCAACCTCCCATTGTCCCTCTCTCACCCTGCTCAATTCCTGAGGGCTTTCTCTCCCCCCTCCCCTTCCTTTTCCCTAGAACACAACCTAGCTTGTCTGCCCTCCAAGCCATTTGTGCTCCATTAGCTCCCCCCCAGGCCACCAATCCCCAAGGCCTAAGCACAGCTGCTTCCATTCTTCACTGTGGTGGATCAGGTGTCACCCTCCTCCCCCCTTCATCTACACTCTCCGGGTAACTTCTTTATCTCTTAGCCACTTATGGTAGAAGCAAGAGCTCTTTTAAGTGTACGCTGTGTCTGGGGGACGGGGAAGCTGTGAACGCAGAAACCTGGCCCTGTGGGATCGCCCCAGTGGCAGCCACGCAGCAAGGACTACAGATGATCAATGCGAGCCCTCTTCAAAACCCGCTGTTCTTGTCTGGAGCAGCCAGGGTTGGAACAACATTGGAAGATGCCCAGCCAGCTGTTCCAGACAATTCTTTTCCCACACCACGGGTGCTCTCGCCCGGAGCCCTGGCAAAGGCCTCTCGTGCCCACCACCTGCTTTTCCTCTCCTTTCTTAAAAAGACCTCACTGATGAGAGTCCATTTTTCGCAGGAGGCATTCACTGAGGTGGGGATGGAGGACTCGAGGGGCTTCTTCCCTAAAGGCTAAAGCCACCATCAGGTTCCCCCCCCCCAACCCAACCCTTCGGGGCTTCCTGGCTTCTCTGGGCTTTCTTAGGCCCCAGAACTTTCCACGGCCGAGAAGAGGACGCAGGGAGAGTCCCCACTTCCTTCCTGCGCCATTCCTTCGGGGCCTACACCCCTCGCCTCATCTCTCCTCCTAGAAATTTCCCTGAGGGGCCCCTTCCCCTCCCCGAAGGCTCCCCTATAAAGGCTCCATCCCCAGACCGGGCTCCCGACCCTCACCAAGGTGACCCCCC